TCTAGTATATCTAATACAATGATGATACTCATATCTCAACACAATGATTCAATATAATTAAACTGATTTCAGTGTGAACAAGTGAACATTCCCTCTCACCGTGCCAGTTGGTCTAGTATCCATCGGAAATTGGACACGTGTGTGTACCCTCAAATACCCACCCAATGTGATATTGAAGGGCCTCCGTTTGCGAGTGTGACTGCCACTATCCTCAAAGATTGCAGCGAATAATATGACTGTGAGGACGATAATTTCAGTAACAGGGATATCAAACTTCGAACATATTCTAACCTTATATTGAATACTAAGTGCCATATCCATGCATAAAACACATCCCTTCTTGAACAGTGTTATGATTTCTTTTTGTTTTTGCCAGCATGACAATGTGCCCGTGAAGAAGGAATGCCCCTCCGGTCTTGTGGAACCAAGAAAAGAAGTTATGTGGACATCCCGATAACGCGCTGCAGCAATCGGAGAACGTAAGGCTCGACTGGCTTCAAGGCCTGAATTTTTGATCGAAACCACACATGACGACAGGAATCTTTCTATTGGCACAATGAAAGTTCTATATCAGAAGCATGGAAAATGCCTACCTGAACAATAGTTTTTTTTTCATTATGATAACTCTTTTCTGATAATCAGTTTTTTGGCAAAATTTCTTATCATTGAATTTGAATTCTACTTGCAATGCATCTCGAAAAAAACATATTTGTTCGTTTTCTTGCCCCAAATAAACCACTACGTATAATTAAACAAAACAAAACACTAGGAGGAATAACAATGAGGTGCTTTTTGCTAAAAAGAAAAAGTGTGTGGCTTGCCAGTTACTACTGCATCAATCCAAACACTAGACAGCCAGGGCATCGAAGTGGCAGTATTTGAAAGCCGATCTATGGATAGAGTCAAAATATAATCTGAAAGTAAAGCCATGGACTGCAAAACGTGACTACATCAATAACAACATTGACAATGAAGTGGCAAGCTCTTGTACCAATCTATCGCCACCACGTTTTCCTCCCACCCCTCCCCACGTCCCCGTCTTATCCCCTCTTGTCCTCTTCCTCCAAGCCCTTCTCCTTCTCTCCTCCTAACTACTTATCTCATCCTGATATACTTTAATAACTGGAGGGATAATAATAAAAACGATGATAGTCGTAACAGAAAGAATAACAACAATAATAGGAATGTAGGGCCGAGGCTCTGTCCTAGACGGGCCGTAGGAGCATGTGAGAAAAGATTCCTCGTGCGTCCTGTTTCGGCCACTAAGAATAAAAGGGTTCCGTATTCAGCAGGTTAGAGATATTCATGTGGTAGCGGAATTAGCTCTCGAATATCATGGCAAAAGCTTTATGATATAACCTGACTGCAGGAAAAGCCTGACTGCCGGGTTGCATTGTCAAATGTACTCTCGTTAAGCGAGGTACTGAAAAAGTTACAAAATAAAAAAAAAGTAAGAAAACACGAATGAACTGAGAAATCACCAAACAGACATAACATAAAGATCATAATGGGGTTAAATTCTCACTTAGTTACAATAAAGAAATAAACACGTTGAGAAATAAAAATAAAAGCCAGTTCATAAATCATTATTATTTAAGCCATAAAAACAATACACAACTAAAAACCTCCATGAAAAAAGAGCAATCTTAATAAAAACAGAAAAAACAATACTTTAAAAAACAGCTCGTAAATCCTGGTAAAATCCACGTAAGAATAAATCCAGAATACAAAAAAAAAAAAAAGTTCGTTTAAACGCGGCTTTTCTGAGGGAAAGACCGAGCGATTTCACAAAGCCAAAGGTCCTTCTTGAGGTATACTGTGCTTGCGCAACTCTCTACAAAGGCGTTGACCCGACCTTTATACGAACAAGGTAGGGCGCCAAGTCGTTAGTTCGGAGTCGCGCAGCAAGACTCGTTATTCTTAAAAGTGTCGTCTGCTCTCATTGAGGGACGTTATAGCTTTACTCTAGTTATTGTACGATTGCGCTTTCAGTTGGTATTGCAGGGGAGGTATTTAATAAAAACAATGACATTTTTTATAGAAATAAAAGGAAAATAAAATATATACAAGATTTTAAAATATGAAACGAGAGAAAAATTACGCTGGATAGCCCAAACCAGGTCTGGCGCAAACAAACTATACAACCGTTTTCTGTCGCCAAGCTCTTCAAGAAATACGTTGTTGCAGCGTTATCCAGGTGTTCCGGCTGAAAGCCGGTATAAAGAAAACAGGTCATCCTCCTGCTCAGTTAAAAAGACTACAGCAAGGTGTCCGCGTTCACTCGTCAGCGTCGTCTGCACGGCAGGTCTCTGCAGCGTCGCCTCTGCGCCATCTATTAATCGTCCCGTCACGCGTCAGGCGACAGGGATAGTTCAGGCGGGGGGGGGGGCTAGTAAGAAATCGGTTACGAAGCCGACACAGGGGCGATAGTGGCAAGTAGGAAGCTGAGACGTCAGCTCACTACAGGGATGACAATGGAAAATAACAGTAAAAAAAATAATAAAAATATAGCAACATAGTAATAATACTAACGATGAATAATAGGAATAGTAATAACGATTATGATAACGAATGAAATATCACTAATAGTAACCTCCCCCCACCAAAACAACAATGATAGTAATGATATTAAATGAGGATATAATAGTGATATGATAACAAACAGTAATGATAATGATGATGACTCATACATTACTACTATTACTAAATGATATTCTCATTACTCGTGCTATTTTAACATATACTTTGATTAGTATATTTTACACACACACGCACACGTCTATGTGTAATATATATGGGTGTGTGTACATGTGAATAGATAGATTTATATATTATACTATATATCACATATATATACAGGTATAGTATATACTGTATATACACAAAACACATAATATCTATTCTATCTCTTTTTTATCTTTATATACTAAAAACACAAATATTATATACATACACACACACAAATATACACACCACACACATATACATATATATGTATATACAAACCCACACACAATATATATACATATATATGTATATATTACATATTATATATGTGTGTGTGTAGTCTATAATATATCATATATCTATCTATATGTATAGTATACATACACACATATATGTGTGTGTGTGTGTTCTATTAACATGTATGTACGTGTGTGTGTGTGTGTATGCATACATAAATACATAGATATTATGTATATATATATATTGTGTGTGTGTGTGTTTGTGTGTTAGATACACAGGCACACACACATACATATAGATACACACAATATATATAGCCTAAGTATGTATATAGGTAATCGATTACTATACCTATATACATATTGTTTTATATGTATAATATATGTATGTATGGTCATGTAATATGTTATATTTATCTATATGTATGCAGACACGCACGCATAGATATATCTACAGTATACACATATGTGATGATATACGAATATATATATGATATAATACTAGTATAGGTATATGTATACATAGATGTATATAGTGTGCTGTATATGTATATAATGCATAATATATATGTATATATGTAAACTGACTACAACACATTTATCACAGTTATGTATGTAGGTCTATCAATATACCTATTAACATTACCAGGCTACATGTAAAATAATAATATCTATATATATCTATATAATAAAATTTGAAAATGAGAGGGAGTTCGGAATCCACCTAGCTTCCATCCTCAGACTGAAGGAGGAATCTAGTTTTTACATGTGGGATTATCTACCATAGTATCAACCACGGTAGAAGTGTTCATCTTTCATATAATATTATATATAATCTATACATCTATGTATGTGTATGAAGATAATAATATATATAATGGTAGAAAACCCACAATGTAAAAACTAGATATGAATCTAGTTTTTACATGGGGTTTCACCATAGTATCAAACACTGTAGAGTGTTCCTCATCAATATAAATAATGAAATATATTTTTTTTTAAACATTAAATATTATCTATATATACATATATACTAGGTTAATACATAGAACTATAAATATAATATGCAACAACACAGATACCAACACACAAATGATATAATATAAATATATCCCCTATGTCCCCCCCGAGTAGAGGAGATACACCTGCCCCCCCACACACCCATACTGGTGTGTGCGTGCTGGTTTTCTGGGTGGGGCGGTCGAGAATATGTATCATTAGCGTACGAGAGAGCACACACTTGTGCAGATGTGTAGCATCCTCGCACATTGTCGGTCATCCTAACGCCTTCCCAAGTTACCGAGAGTGTTCCGCGTGTGAACATTGTGGAATAGACACACACTTTACCCTCCAGCGAAAAAAGCCTATTCGATTTCTGTTCCTTGTATATAAAGGAAATACAGTCCACTCACACTTAGATGTGACAGAACACTGTGTTGACCGACCATTCATACTACGGACCTGGTATGTTATATCACATCGCTTTCGTATTTCTATGTCGCGAGGCACACAATATCGACTTCGCCACCACACACACAGGGGAACAACGCATCGTATATTTCAGAAGAGTAGATTGTTATAGACTATTTTTACTGACGTTCCAGGCTACCGATTCGCTGTAGCATTGGTTGTCTTTCACTCCGGTAATATATGGTTCGTTGCCTTTTAGAAAGGGCATTGCACATAAAACAATCGTTTATATATTGCAATCATTCCCAAAAGATCCAAACAGAAGTTTCCCGAGCTAATTATCAGGTGGATTAGTAGACTTAAGCTTCTATTTTTTCTTCTTTTTTTTTCAAGACTCCTTATCCACATTACGTCGATATCTGATGATTTTTTCACTCTGCTTTGCATATAAGAAGTGCGGGACAAGCAACCGCAGCGGAAGGCGCCCACGAGGCTTACTGAAAGCACGACAACTGTTCTTCTCGTAGTCACTTCCACTGGTCTTGAGGAACATGGGAACTAGCAGGTTCCTGGCTGCGGTGGTTGCAGCCTTGCTTGCCCCCCCCCGGCCCTCCGGATCTCTCGGGCATCGACTGAGGGTCGAATATCAATCATTCACGCTTCTCTCTCCTCTCTCTTGTTTCTCCTCTCTTATCTCTTTCTCTCCCTTCCTCCGTTGTCTGTCTGTATCTCTGTATATGCTTTCATCCCTCACTCCCCCTCTCTTTATCTTCCTCTCCCTTTCTCTTTGCCAAATAAACAATTACTATAGTAAATTTCCATGGGGAAATATAGGACAGTTTATGCGGCTAAAAACTTGTCATTCATATCATTCACATGGAAACAGATCTGACCACAAAAAATAGGGGAACAAAAAGTAAAGAATGAAGTATGCAAAATAAGTATGTATACAAACACACACACACATATATAGTATATTTGCGTGTGTATACACAGAGGGGTAAAGGAGAAAAAGAGGGAATGGGTTATAGCTCGGCCGTCCTATTTTCAAGCAACTCAACTATTCAGGAAAGTCGGGGTGTTAATACACATATCCCTCTACGGACGATAGGTCCAACTTAGTGTTTTTATATATTTATGTCTTTATCGATTTACTTGTGATCATAAAGGTCTCAGCATCTGCACCACGTTGACTTGTCCTGAACCCAACGGCCTCTTCGCGCACCCGACGGACTGCCACCGCTACGTCAAGTGTGCCAACGGCCACGCCTACGTCGAGACCTGCCCCGCCAACCTGCACTTCAACGAGGCCTCGGGAAGCTGTGACTACCCGGAGAACGCTAAGGTAAGGTCAGACCTGGTTACTTGTGTCTCCATATATATTTATATTTATATATCCATATATATTTATATGTATTTTTTCATACACATATATATTTGTATATATAAATACGTAAATATAGACATATATGCATATAAACAAATATTCTTACACATATATAAACCTACACACATCTGTGTGTATATATATACATATATATACATGATGTATACACACATACACACACACACACACACACACATATATATATATATATATGAACACAAACACAGGGACGTGTACACAAAGTAATAAAGGAAAACAGCCACAACTGTAAATGAAAACAATACGTAACATTTTGTACCCTTCAGGAGTTCCTCATCAGACGAATAATTAACCGAAATGGATGATTTCGGTTATTTATACGTGTTATAAAGTCGCTTGTTATACGCCTGATGAGGAAGTCGAGAGGAGTTTTCATTTCTTATTGTGGATGTTTTCCCTTTCATATATATATGAATAGATAGATATATGTATGATATATATTTATGTATGCATACATATACATATGTGTCTGCATGAATATATACATATGTATACATATATATACTTATATATATATTTATATATATATACATACATGTTCATACATATGTATATACATACATGTGTATATATAGATATGTGTATATATATATAATATAATATGTAATATTTATATATATAAATGTATGCATACATATACATATGTGTCTGCATCTATATATACATATATATTCATATATTTATATATACATATATATGTTTATATATATTTAAATATATATGTGATATCATATACATATGTATGTATGTCATATATATATTTAAACATATACAAATATGTATACACATATGTGTGTACGTATATGTATATATATATATGTATATATCTGTGTAAGTATATACAAATATATATTATATATATCCATGCAAATAGATATATACATATACATACTTATACACATATATGTATACATGTATATATATGTATTTAGTGCATGTGTATTACATCAATAATCATGTTATTGTGATATAAACACTCTAGCCATGCATTGCCTCCGAGCATTCTCACCAGGAAAAACAACTTCAAACTAACATCCTTCCAGTGTGACATCACCAAGCGACTGGAGACCGAAGGATGTTCTCTTCGGTCCGCAAAGGCCAGTCGATCCTTGCCCACAGAGTCGGACCTTTCAGTCCAGTGCGACTGCGACTGCTGCCTCAAGCCACCACAGGACTG